ACATACTATATATTTTTTTTGTCAACAAAATTGATAACGTGGACAGAGCTAAACAATTCTTTGATTCGTTGCTGTGCGATCATCATTGATTAAATTTTGCATGGATTATCATGATCCTTGTTCAAGCAACACGCATTAACTCCGACCAGATACGGTACTGCTCCTCTTTGCATTTTTATCTCTTTCCCGACTTCAAATTAACATAAGCTGTTTCTTCTTCTCTATATTGTAGATCTTGGTAAGTCTGGTTGTCATTGCCAGCAGTTTGCCTATCTGCCGTGTAGTCCATGTAAGTCTGTGTCGAGATACGAAATGCAATATATCAATGTAATTTATCGTTTGTAACTTGTTGCTTAATTTAAATGGATCTATACGCTTTCAATACATTCTTAAAAACACATTCTCACTGGCGCTCATCAATAGTGATAACTAAGCAACAAGCGAGGAAATTATAGAACACAATCAAGTGTGCGAGTTTCGAAAAATATATAAAATCCGGGAGGTTTATAGATTCTTTTAGAGGGCCTATTCCCAAAGATTTTAATATTGGAGTAGGCCTACATTTTACAAGTGTACAAACACTTTTAATAATACGTAGAATATCAACTGTCAGTTTGCATATTGTATGTTTTTTCATTGGTATCAGACTTTGTTTGGCCTAAAAACCGAAGTAGTTGCATGCCAGGGGTAGGCCTGAGTATGGAAAGAACCCGGTATTATCAACGATGTAGATAGGGACCCGGTACCGGATTCATTGTCGTTTGACCAAAGTATTATAATTTATGGGTAAGTCTAGGAAGGCGTTATCAATAGAATATTCACCTAAATCTTTTGAAAAATGAAACACATAATTAGGCCTACAGATACCATGCTTTTGTGCACGTGGCACAAAGTGGATTAGTAACTCGTATCAGAGGTGAATTAGAGTATTAAAAACTAACATCTTGTTTACTCTTGTCCGTACTTCTCTTGTCTATTTTTGTCTTCTAAATTGAAATTTAAAAAAAATATTAATACAATTTGCAGTCATACCTCTCTCTGTCGTTCTATTTAATTGTTTTATTTAAATTTTATGTTGCCCACAATTACTTTATATGTTTATTTATTAATTAAAGTTTAACAATGGAAAGCCTGCCATTTAAGCCTACAGAATGGAGGTTGAAACCACAATGATAAACCACAAGAAAATTAACAAATACAAAAAATTGCTTCATTTTGTGTAATAATTTTCTGGGGCGGATGCAGGATTTGGCGGTGAGTGAGTGTCCAGACCACCTCAGCCCACCATGGTTTGGGCTGAGGCGGGAAAATTTGCAGAATATGGACCTCCGGGTGCCCGAAAATTGCACGCTCATACCTTTAAATTTTTACCAGTAATTCTTATCAACAATATAATAGAACAATTATTTTTCTTAATATAATTTAGAAGGGTGCGATCGCACCGTCTGCACCCCTTCTGCATCCGCCCCAGCTATTTGTTGTTTGTAGAATTTCAAATCCGAGTAAAGTAATTTCAATCAGGACAATTTTACTGTAACATATGGTAAATAGAAGGATGGGGTGAGGGAATATTGTTTAATTTGGTAATTGAAAGCAATAATCTTGCATAGAATATGAACAATAATTTTGTTAATACCTGTATGCTTATCTGAGAAACCTGTTTAATCCTCGAGTAGACGATCAATCCACCAATTACCCCGAAAGCTCCAACAAAGATGCCCACAAATAACATTCCAATTTTCAGACTCGTGCTACTGGAACAGACTGAACAGACTGCAAGGGGAGAACATACAATTAGTAGGTCTACATCATTATACCTCTTTAATCATAATTATTTATTATGATGCAATAATAATGTTAAATAAAGAATAATATTCAATAAATTGAAAACATGAGTAGCAACCCCACCAATAATACCACCAATAAAAATAATAATAATAATAATAATAATAATACTAATAATAATAATAATAATAATAATAATAATAATAATAATAATTTATTAGGCCTAATAATGATAATGATGATGACAATACGGTATGATAATGATGGTAATGATGATGATGTTGTTGATGATGATGATGATGATGATGATGATGATGATGATGATGATGATGATGATGATGATGATGATGATGACGATGAAAATAATAAATGATGGTAATGATAACAATGATAATGATGGTGGTGGTGATGATGAATCAGGATTCGATGTCAAATTACGAAACGTGCAGGCTTGACACCTTGACCGCTGATGAATTATGTCCAAAATTTACTACAAACTCGTAAAATGTAATAATGAGCCATTATCATTATTATATAATTTTCGGTACAAATTTAAACCTCTTTGGTTTTCTTCCTTCTTCCTGTCTTTTTGTAAAAAATAAAGTAAAATAAAACAAATAAATAAACAATAACAAAAGTGGCCCGCGGAGCCGTTAAATCTGGCCAGTGTGAAAAAATCAGCAAACGCCAAAGATTGGTATTGTAAGTTCTAGCTATATATGGAAAAGCCTGAGAAGAATTGTTAATTGAGTAGACTCAAAATCAAGGTGTTTTAGGTTTTAATTTACTAAAAATAACACTATGGCACTGCCACTTTCTAATCTTCCCCTCAGCTTATTATAAGTAAAATACATTCAAGGATAAAAACACAGAAAAGTACAAAAAAGCAACTTATTTCCACTGTGGTCCCTTCTAATCTTTCCCACAATTTTTTTAATCTGGGGGATTTTTTTTCTCTCGGCTGGCTATTTTCTCCCGGCTATTTTCGTCCTGTATTTTTCCGATGTATGATTTTTTTCATATAAGTTCATGTATAAGGTAGAACATATTATTTGTTTTTATATTTGCTTTTTTTCACTATATATTGTCTTGTTACACCACACAGGTGTGCCGATGATTTAAAAAAACAAAAAGCGTAACCAATCAATTGATTGATTGACTCTTGATGCATTCGAAATTCTGATGAAGTGTAAAGACACATTTTAGAAACGTCTTTTTAAAAAGTTTGCATCCGGGTTCACTTAAGTGATAGAGGAAAGTTGAATCAGGAAATCATTTTTAAACATACAGTACTTAATCTTTGGCCTATAAATATCACACCTATTTTTTAGTCGTTCATTATGTATACATGTGGTTACATCAGCTAATACTTCGGCAAGGTGCGCGAATATTATCAAAGTTTCAGGGGCAGTAGACACAAAAATCGGTATGGAAAAACCAAAAGTTTGTTACCCTTTTATTCCTGTTAAGCAGCGACAAAAAACAAGACGGATGATTTCATTAATTTGAACTCTCAGTGCCCTTGGGTGATTATCTTCTACGATTATTACGCCTACTTTACACCTAAATTTCTTTACTGTTTCTGGTAGCATAATCATGGAGGAATAAGTTTAGTACTTATTCATCCATAGTTTCACTATTCTGATTGACTGCGTATGATATGATGTATTTTTTTTTGTATTTTATTTACTTTCGCTGCTTACATGTGTATATATGTATATTTACAGTTTGCGCGTATGTATGTTTATGTATGTATATGGGTATGTTATTTTATTATTTTTATTATTATTATTCGGTATTTTTTTAATTCTGATGTTAATGTTTTTTTTTTGTTTTTTTTTTTTTTGTTTTTTTTTTTTGGTTTTGAAAATG